AAAAACTAGTATGGAAACAGAAATAATAAAACCAACATCATACATATGCACCCTTACCGGTAACCTTTTCTATGTTCTCTATGTTCACACACAATCCCATTCGCTCCACTCCTTCCAGCTATGTGCACATTATCCTTCTTGGCAACGTCGCTAGGAAAACCTCGTTGCTGTGTACCATTTGCACCACGGAACGTCCTAAAGCAACACAATTTTCTCTTAGTGCCATCAAACGGCCCCGTGACTCAAATGCTAACTCTTAACGAACGGACTGACAGAAATGATTTCGGCTTTACGCTCCGGCGACAACTGGAAGAAGGCCGCAAGCAGAGGTTTCCGCATGTTGTGGTTAATCCGACGTTCTTTCGGAGTCTTGACGGGCGGCATCTTTACGAGGCTGTTCTCGGCTTTCGTTCGCCCTCATCTGGAATACTGCGTCCAGGCTTGTCCGCCCTGCCTCGTCCGGGACAAAATGGAGCTGGAGAGGGTTTTACGAGTGGGTACTGGTTAGTCGAGGGATTACGGGGACGGACGTACCCCGAACGTCTACTTAGTTTGGGAATGCATTCCATGCACTACCGAAAGCTTAGAGGAGACCTAATCCTAACCTACCGTATCTTGACTGGGAAGGTTGGTCCAGATTTATCTTGGCTATTCAGTCCCGCTAGATTGCCAGTTCTACGCGGTCATTCCATGAAGCTGGACTAACCGCGGTCCGATCGTATTAGGGCGGAAATCCGGCTGTCACGCCGAGTTTTCGACCGCTGGAACATGCTTCCGGAAAGTGTTATCAGGGAATCTACGGTTAAGGGGTTTGAGCGGCAACTTGACGCTCTTGGGTGGCAATACGAAACCTTTCCATTTTCCTGAGTAACTCGCATCTTCGTACTTCGCTTTTCTTTTCTCTACCTTTCTTCACGTATTGGTATTATTTTCTTATTTAAGTGCACTTCCCTATTCTGTACCTTCGATTTCTCTTCCTATCCTTTGCTTATTTCACGTGACTGCCAAAGCAGGGACTGCTAGGGCAGGAAACGTGGGCATTAACCGGTTGGCCAGGGTGCGATACGGGTGTTTCCGTTTTAGATCCATCAATAACTGAGCACTTCATCAATTCCTGGCTCAACGATCCACTCAAGATGGAACACTCACGGGATTCTCCTATCGTTCCAGTCCCCATCTGAACTGATCTGAACTGAACTGAACTGAAGGAGGCGTACTCGGAATCAGCTGACCATTCCATGATGGATTTATGGCGTGCAGAAAGGCAGTGAGAAAGCAAGTTATCGGCAGTAATATTGTCATAAATTAAACACATAACTGAAGAGAAAAATCTGCTATAATGTTAAGTTTTACATTAATTATGAAAGGTACGATATAATGAAATCTATGGACATCTACATAGGAAGCGTTGACACTAACATTTATCACGTTTGAATAAATAGAAAAATAGGTAAACAAAGGATGTAAATTTAACATAATCAACTTCGTTGCCGAAAGATAAAGGCCGAGGACGTTATAAGAAACTTAAACTTATAATGTTAACCTATGACCCTATGTATACACAACTTTAAATGCTACCAATTATCACTAGTTCTTTATTTTCATTACCCAATGGCCCATTGACGTCAGACAATGGCTGCTGTACCAAAACTCCCAGCCCTTATGTGAGTTATCACATTGATGTATTGAGGGCCAGCGTTTTTCAGTCCCTCGACAAAACTGTTGAGGCTCTCGCAGTCTTGATTTGCGCTTCATCGGTTCAGGTTACGGTCGTGTTAGTGTATAGAAGCCCTGTGAGCACTTCCGATGGAATCATTGAGTTTATACGCACTCACTCAGCAAACAACTGTCTGGTGCTGGGAAACTTCAACCAGAGGTTTGTTGGGATGATGTATCTCGCAGTTCGGCTCTGGTATCGCTCCGTACAGAACTGCTGGACTTGACGCTGCAGGTACCACTACACCAGTTCGTGGACCTCCCCACTAGGTACATGAGCAATCAGCAGCCGTCCATTTTAGATCTTGTTTTTGCTAAGTCACTTGACTTTGTAAATGACATTAAATACGACTCGTCTCTTGGCGCTAGCGATAACGTTTGCTTGATTTTCCAGTGTGCTCTTATCAGGTCTTGCCAAGCTACTACCAGTTGGTATCCGAACATTTGGGCCGCGGACTTCCAAGCGATGCGGGATAAAGCTAGGTCATCGCCTTGTGTAATATCTGAGACCGACACTGTTCATGTAGCCTGGGAAAAACTTAAGGCTCACCTCGTCGACATTTCTGCACCTCACATCCCACTGGTAAAAAGAAGGGAATCGAGAGCGCAGCCTCCGTGGATAGATTCCGCTGGGAAGGGCCTGCTAAAGAAGCGGTCTAGATGCTGGCGATCATACCGAACAGCTCCGTCGAACAGCACGTTTGACAAGTATCGATTGGTTCGAAATAAATGCAAGCTACATCTTAGGTTGGCCCGGCTTTAGTATAAAGAGGGCTTAGCTAATACCGCCTCGAAAAACCCCAAGAAATTCTTCGCTTACGTTAAACGACGCTGTGGTGCAAACTCGCCCATACCACCTTTGCTTCGAGGAAATGGGACCCATGCCTATAGCGACTATGACAAGGCATACGTGCTTGGTAAGCAGTACTCAAGCGTCTTTGTCCGCGAAACAAATACGCCATGCAGAGTTAGCTTCAAGAGTCTCTGAAGACTGTTGTCTGGATGAAATTCCTGTAACTGAGTCCCAAGTTCTCCGGTTGCTAAGGGAGGTAAACCCAACTAAGGCTTCCGGGCCAGATTCCGTTCATCCAAAATTGTTGCATGAGTTGGCAGTGGAACTCAGTAGACCTCTCACTTGTGTGTTTCAGAAGTCACTCAACAGCTCTATCTTGCCTACCGAATGGAAGGAGGCTGTTTTCTGCCCGATTTTCAAGTGCGGTGACAAAGACCTACCGGCTAATTACAGGCCTGTCAGGTTGACTAGCGTGGTCGTTAAGTTACTTGAAAAATTAGTACGAGATACAGTGGAGAACCATTTAAATGAATTTAACCTGTTTTGCGTCGAGCAACATGGTTTTCGCAAAGGATTTTCGTGTCAGACGAACTTGCTGGTAGCTCGCGAGAGCTGGGCTGAAGCCGTAGACAATGGACATGCGGTGGATGTGGTGTTCATTGACTTCGCCAAGCCCTTCGACACTGTTTCCCATCCGCAACTCACTGAAGTTGAGGTCGTATGGAATAGCTGGTCGCGCTCTTCAGTGGGTGTCAGCTTTTCTGGATGGACGGGAACAGTGTATTCGTGTGGGAAGCAGTCTTTCGTTTCGACAAGCTGTAATTAGCGGCTTTCCGCAAGGCTCTCTCCTAGGTCCGCTGCTTTTTTCTGTCTACGTGAATGACTTGCCGGAGGTGCTTGCGGTACCATCGCTCTTATTTGCTGATGACCTATAGCTCTGGAATATTGTTAATATCTCTGGAAGTCCTTTGGCTCTTCAACGGGCTCTGGATAGACTCTGGGAATGGTCTGTCTTGTGGTTGCTGCCCATAAACTGGGCAAAGTGTTCAGTGCTGCGTATCGGAGCGTCTGCTTCCTCCACAAGTTATGTGCTCGATGGGAGTAAACTTCCTCACGTGACACATCAGGTTGATCTAGGTGTCGTCCACTGTTCCACACTACACTTTGGCGACGACTGGAAGAAGGCGGCTAGTAAAGGGTTCCGGATGTTGTGGTTTATCCGTCGTTCTTTTGGGACCCTAGCCGTTGATGAGTTTGTGAAGCTCTTCTCAGCGTTCTTTCGACCCCACCTAGAATATTACGTCCAGGCCTGTCCACCATGCCTTGTCCGGGACAAAATGGCACTAGAAAGGGTGTTGCGTGTCGGTACTAGATTGATCAAGGGATTACGAGGGCAAACGTACCCTGAACGCCTACTTAGTTTGAGGATGCAGTCAATGCACCTTCGAAGGATTAGAGGGGATCTAATCTTAACCTACCGTATTTTGACTGGGAAGGTTGGCCCTGATTTGCCCATGCTATTTAGTCCTGCTAGATTATCTGGTATTCGTGGGCATTGTATGAAGCTAAACAAGCCGCGGTCCGATCGAGTTAGAGCGGAGACACCGTTATCGCGTCGAGTCATCGAGCGCTGGAACTTGCTTCCAGAACATGTTGTCAAGGAAGCTACGGTTAAGGGGTTTGAGCGTCAACTAGACGCTCTTAGGTGGCAACACGAAACCTTTCCTTTTTCCTGACTAATTCCCATCTTCATACTTCGATTCTGTTTTCTCTACTTTTCCTCGCCATTGGTATTATTCTCTTCTTTTAACTGATTTCCCCTACTCTCTTACCTTCGCTTTTTCTTCCTCTCTTACTTCACGTAACTGACAGCTGGAACAGCTAATGTAAGGAACGTGGGCATTCAATTGGTGGACCAGGGTGTTTTTTCGGGTGTTTTCCTTTTAGATCCATCAAGAAGTCGGAGCACCCCTATCAACTCCTGGATCGACGACCCGCTCAAGGAACACTTACGGGATTCATCCTATCGTTCCAGTCCCACTTGAACTTGAACTATATATTTTCCGCCGCTTTAGAGTTTGTTAGTTAGTACGGGTCTCAAACAAACGTAACCAGCTAGCAAACAGGCAAGCTGCCTAAGTTGCCTATGTACATAATGATGTTATATTTTAATAATATTTTCCACAGACACACAGGACAATCTCCAGGTCACTAGTTAAGGATTGGCACGCTTGCTCAATGCTGTAGGACCAGTAGGTACTAGTCCGAGACGGTGCGCGAAAGTAAGCGCGGATATCAGAAGGCAGTTGGCGTCGGTCACAGCGGGCTGTATTCGATGGGCTACAAGAGGAGAGGGGGTACAAGTGAGTGCGGGAACATACAAGGCGGTCGAGTGTCGAGCCGGTTGTAAGGAAGATTAAAACAAGAAAGAATAAGGTACAATTGGTCAACAATTAAATAGTACATAAAAGATAGCAGTTATCTTTTTGGCCGCTACAGAGCTCCCCTAGAAGACTGAACATAATAAGCCTTCGATATCGAAATGACTGGTGAATCGAGGTTCGTAGGGCAAAATCGTGCTGAGTAAGAATGAGCGAGCGTTCGTGTCAAAGGGGGATTCGCCGGAAGTCGGAGTCCGCTGTGCCATTTGTGAGTTATTATTTATTGATTGCAGGGCAGGGTGCATTTCGGCGAGCCATTGGAGCGGGCTTGTCGGACTACAAAAAAACTGGCTAGTACAAAAAATGGCCGACAGGACTCCACCTCTGCTGCTGCCAAACGGTGCGCTTGGGAGTGGTCTCATTCCTCGCCGCACTCCACCCCGCGCCAAAACGACACTTGTCCCACGGATAAAGGACTAACGAGCCACGAAGAAAAGACCGTCGTTCCACGAAGAAGTGACCCTCGTCCCGCGGAGAAACGAGCAGTGATCGCGTCAGGCTCCTCGTTGACTGCGCCGATCCTCGAAAACATTGCTCGTGTGGGCCAGACGATCGAAGCAGGGTTGGGGCATGTTGAGACGAGAAAATAGAAAAACGCGCAGAAAACGCCAGAAAGAAGGAATGATCTGCGTGTTTAGATTTTTGGTTTTTGAATATCTTTTAGAGAAAGGTTTTCAAAAGTTTTTGATTTTTTGTTTGTTTTCAAAACGTTAATCGACCAAAACGGGGCAAATATATACAATATCTACAAAGCTAAACGTATTTACACTGTACATAGTCGGAAAAACGAACGGGCTTACGCACCTCCCGACCACGGCGATTGGTCGTGGGAGGCGGCGGGCTAGATTCGGGAGATGTCGGGACGGCTGATGCTTGTAGACCGAGATCGTGGTCTGGTTGAACTGCACTAGGATGCTGAAAGCTGGTGCGGTGAGTTGTGACGTCGCACGAAGCACTACTAGACGAAGTAGGCGAGGTGGTTTCTTCCATAAAGGCGGGCTTTAGACGGTCGATGGTGACGACTTCGCGTCGGCCACCGCGGTCAATAGTGTACGTTTTATTCGCGCGGTGTAGCACTTTGAAAGGTCCTATGTACGGCGACTGAAGAGGCTGTCGAACACCGTCTGCGCGAAGGAGTGTGAACAGGTAGACAGCTTCTCGGGCACGTACACTGGTGTCTTCTGCGATCGAGGAGCGGGTGGACGTAGCTCACGCATCTGGTGAGCCAATCGATCGGTGTAACTTCCGTAGTCAAAAGAGGAAGTAGACGGGGCTGGTGCTACCAGCTGTCCGGGCAACCGCAGCGTGCAACCGTAGACTAGCTGCGCTGGTGTTGCATCGAAATAGGTTTTGACCGTGTTTCTTAAGCCTAGGAGAACGAGGGGAAGTGTTTCAGACCATGAAGGATCTGCGTGCGCGCGTAGCGCTGCCTTCAACTGGCGGTGAAAACGCTCCACCGGCCGTTAGCGGCCGGATGATACGCCGTCGTCTGGACGTGGCGGCAACCTAAGTCCTTAAGCAAAGAAGCAAATGTGGAGGAAAAGTGTGACCCACGATCAGTGGTCACTATGGCACGGCAGCCATACTGTGCAACCCAGCGTTCTAAAAAAGCTTCCGCGACTGTTTGTGAAGAGCAATTTGGGATAGGAACGGCCTCAGGCCATCTAGTAGATCGATCGAAACAGGTCAGTAGATACACAGAGCCTTCCGAAGAAGGCAGAGGACCTACGAGGTCCACGTGCAGGTGTTGGAAACGTGCGTCTGGCGTAGGAAACGTGCCTAATGGGGTTTTCGTGTGCTTATGCACCTTCACGCGTTGACACGGAAGGCAAGCAGGTGCCCAAGTACGGACGTCCCGATTGACATTGTGCCAAACGAATCGTGCGGTTACGAGTTTAACCGACGCACGAATGCCTGGATGAGACAAGCCGTGCAACGTGTCGAACACGGTCTGCCGAAACTCACATGGGACGACTGGGCGCGGCGTGCCCAGAGACAAATCGCAAAGTATACTTCCGTCTGATGATGTCAGCGGAACAGGTCGTATGTCCAGTGAGGGAGACCTGCGTAGTAGATCAACCTCAGGATCGTTGAGTTGCGCTGTGGCCATGGCTGTCAAGTCGATAGCAGTGCCGGCGTCAGCGGAGATAGCTTGGATGCGGGAAAGTGCATCGGCGACGGCGTTGTGCACACCTGAGACATGCCGTATATCGGTCGTAAACTGAGCGATATAGTCAAGGTGGCGCGACTCTCTAAGAGAGTATCGGTCGGTAGTCGAGCCGAGCACGTAAGTCAGGGGTTTGTGGTCGGTGAAGACGGCAAAGGAGCGGCCTTCTAAGACGTGTCGAAAGTGACGTATGGCTAGGTATATGGCTAGTAGCTCTCTACCGAACGTGCTGTAGCGAGATTCGGTAGGTTGTAGGCGTTTGGAGAAAAACGCTAAGGGCTGCCACTTGTCGGCTACTCGTTGCTGCAAAACAGCGCCGACTGCCACGTCCGAGGCGTCAGTACTGAGGGACAGTGGGGCTGCCGGATCGTGATGTGCTATAGAAGCTATGTTGGCGATAGCCTCTTTCAGCGACTTAAAAGCAGCGCGTGCTGCGGCAGGAAATTCGAATTTCTTGAGTTTCCCTCGGAGAAGGTCCGTGAGGGGTTGCATCAGTGACGCGCAGTTTGGTATGAACCGTCGGTAAAAGTTGACAAGCCCATCAAAACGCCTAAGCTGTTTGAAAGAATGAGGCTCGGGTAGTCGATGATGGCTTGAATTTTATCCTGCAGTGGCACGACGCCTGCAGAAGAGATACGATGGCCGAGGAAGTTTACTGAGTCGACACCAAACGAACACTTTTCTGCGTTGATCGTCACCCCGTGTTGAGATAAACGATCAAAAGTGTTCGTACGTGGCGCATGTGCTCTTCTCGTGAAGAGCTCGCGATTAAAATGTCGTCGAGATAAGCGTAAGCGAAGTCTAAGCCGCGACAAACTTGGTCGATGAAGCGCTGAAAAGTTTGCGCGGCATTCTTTAGACCAAATGGCATGCGCAGAAACTCGAACAAACCAAATGGAGTCGTCACGGCAGTTTTAGCGATGTCCGCTTCGGCTACTGGAATTTGGTTGTATGCGCGTACCAAGTCGATTTTGCTGAAGATATTTTTACCCGCCAGACTGGCGGTGAGATCCACTATGTGTGGGATCGGATAGCGATCGGGCGTGGTAACCGTATTCAAGGTTCGATAGTCGCCGCAAGGACGCCAGTCCCCCATGACCTTCTTCGGGACCATGTGCAGAGGCGACGCCCATGGGCTGTTGGACGGTCTGACGATACCGAGCTGAAGCATGTGGTCGAATTCAGCTCGTGCTGCACGTAGTTTGTCAGGAGCAAGCCGTCTTGGTCGTGCGCTAACTGGCTGACCACGCGTGACTATGTGATGAGCGACCTCTGTCGTGACTGGCGGAAGCTCTGCAGCTGGTCGTACCAGTCGCGGGTATTCAGACAGTAGGTTCGCATAATCTGATGGTACATCGGCGATTCGAAAAACGGGACTGATTATCGGGCGTCCGTAAGAACGCCTTCGAACCCCTAGTTTAGTACGGTCGTCTAAAAGTCTGTGGCGACCAGCATCAACAAGCAACCCAAAATGTCGGAGGAAGTCGATACCGATAATTGCGAAGGGTACAGACGCAACCATGAAGACCCACTGAAAATCTCGGCGAAGATTGAGGTCCAGGTTCATCATGCGCTGACCGAATGAAGCTATCGGAGAACCGTTGGCCGCACGCAAATTGTACGTAGGTTCTGAGTGCTTGTCGGTAGCGGTCGCTGGGATGACGCTGACTTCCGCTCCCGTGTCGATGAGGAACGTGATGGAAGAACGTCGATCCTTAACGTAAAACAGGCGATTTGCTTGGTTATTGACTGATACGTTTGTCGTGCTAGTATGCGGGCTATTCGCTTTCCCTGAAGCAGCTGGGTCGTGCCTAATGCAGGGAGCCCGACAACGTCTAGCTCTTCCACCGTATTGGCGGTGATACCAACATACTTCTTCGACAGCTTTGGTATTATCTGACTGAGAACGTGCAGGGAAAATGTTGCGCTTTCGTGCCGAACGAGACGTACTCGGTGCAGGCACAGACGAGCCGCAATGAACGGTAGCCAAAACGTGGTCAGCATTTGACCGTGGCACACGCCGCTTCGAAGCCTTCATTGCTGCTATCCTGCTGCGAAGTAGCGCAATTTCCTCGTCTTTAGGGTCAGATCGGCCTGACGACTGGGAGCAAATATGGGATTCGGTTTTCATCGGTGAGAATACGTCACCGGAGCTACTGGTCGTCTGCTGCGGAAGACGTTCGAACGCAGCGTCTGCCTTGGTAGCTAATTCTTTCAGGAGTGTATCTATAAACATGGACAGCATTACCGGCAATGGCTCTGGGAGACTTGCAAACCACAGCTTCTTTATTCCTTCGCTCAAGAAAAAGGGCCCAGCGATGCGCTGAAGTTCGCGGAGCAACGCCGACGGCTTGCGATCTCCAAGCTTTAGACCATTGAGCTGTTCAAATCGAGATCGTGCGTTGGGCTGTAACTCTTTTCGAATCGTTTGCTTCGTCGTTTTATACTTTGCCTCATTCGAAGGGGAAGGTAGAATGTCCTCAATCAGCGGCACAACCGACGGAAGAAGGCGTGGGACGAGCTGATTGTACCTCGGACGGTCCGCCGTAATTTCCTTATTTTCCAGTTCGATCTCGAATATCGTACACCAAACCTCTGGGTTGTGTTCCATGAAACTTGGAACAGCCAAAGCAAGCATGTTTACGCTGCGAAACGACTCAGATGCCACTCTCGAAATGAGTCAAAAAGTTAAAGGATGAACAAAAACATAATAAAAGTGTTAAAATTACGCAAGCAACAAATGAATACAGGTATATAATCAAGAAAAAGGAACGAACTCACCAAAAAATCCAAACGAGGAAAAAACGTGGAATTCGCGCGTGCGAATCGGGGTCACCAATTTGTAGGACTAGTTAATACTAGTCCGAGACGGTGCGCGAAATTAAGCGCGGATATCAGAAGACAATTGGAGTCGGACACAGCGGACTGTATTCGATGGGCTACAAGAAGACGCGGACGGATGAAGCGAGGCGAAAGCGAACACGTGAGCGCGGGAACTTACAAGGCGGTTGTCGAGCCGGTTATAAGGAAGATTAAAACAAGAAGAAATAATGTACAATCGCTCAACAATTAAATTGTACATGCAAGTTGGCAGTTATCATTTTGCGCGTTACAGAACCTACCAAGCAGCTCCATCATCCAGTACCTACAACAGTTATCGAGAGATTAGAAACAAATTTAAGCCACATCTCAGGATTGCTCGTCTCAAATACGAGAAGGGTTAAGCGGACTGAGCCGCAGCTAATCCCAATAAGTTTTTTGCTTACGTTAAAAGACGCAGCGGGGCGAAACTGTCTATACCAGCTTTGTTGCGAGCAGATGAGACCCTTGCGTAAATTGACCATGTTAAGGCTTGCATACTTAGTGAGCCGTATACTGGGGTCTTTGCTCGGGCGACCACTTTACCACAGGTTGCATTGCTTCCGAGAGTTCCAGAGGATTCTTGCTTAGCTGAGTTTAACATAACGGAGACT